CGGGAGGGGCGGGGCACATCGGGAGGAGGCGGGGCTGGGGCTGCGCGCGCCCGGGGCGGGGACTCGCGCCCCTTCCTGGGCTCTTCCCAGCCGCGCAGTGCAGTGCTGGGGCCGCGGCCCGGGAGCCCTCAAGCAAGACCTCAGGTCACTCCTATCTTTGAAGTGAGGTTTTTCCTGTCCCCTGCCCCTGAGCCCCGGGGGCCCGGACCCTCCCTGACCGCGGAGTGACGCGTCACCCGATTCCGGGGTCTCCTGGCTCTACCAGCGCGGCCGCTTGCGCTCCGGAGTGTGGGCGCCCTCCCTCCCAGCCTCACCGAAGCCGGCGTGGCGCTTCTCCAAAGCCAGCTCTACCTTACTTCACAGTCCCTGGGTATTTAAAAGTCACCGTGGTGACCCATGCCCTGATCTGGATTCCTTTCATTCTGTCAGGAATTGACTGTGCTAGCGACGCTCAGTCGTTCAACAGACACTGACTGGCTTCGCGCTGGGCTCGGGGTCTGTCCCAGGCTACTACGCGCCCAAACCTCCGAAGCCCCCATCGCTGCCGCACCGGCGGGTTACTGAGCCCGCGCTGCCAGAAGGACGCCCGAAGATTGCCGCGAGTGAGGGACGCGTTCGGGCCCCTGCCAGGAGGTCCAGGTCCTGGAAGAACGCCTGGGAGTTGAAAGGTTCCCGTCCAGGCCAGGGCTTCATAGAGCGTTTGCATCTATCAGGCGCAGGGCCCGGAATCTCCCTAAGACGGACTGCCTCAGCCCCAACAACTGGGCTGTGAAAATACATTGTCAGTTTTAGCCGCAACAGGGAAGTCACTCGATCGAAATAACGCGTTTGTGGAGCTACATTGGTGATTCCTAAAACCCTGGAAGCCTTTCTCAGGACAGTGGATTAAGAGTGTTCTCTCCGTGTGAATTTGCTCAGTAGAAATGGATGGCTCCTTTGCTGATCTGCCCGCCCCAGCAAAAAACAAAAACAATAACCTTTAAGAAGGGAACTTGGAAGATAGAAGAGTTGATTTCTCTGAAGATCGAGTTTCCTCTTTTAAAGGGATTTTATTATCCACTAACTGGCTAAAGTGGAAGAACGTTTGTGTTTTGTTCCTATTTTGTTTAGATTCAATTTTATTTACCTGCTTGATTAGCGTTGGCATGGTACAGAATTCCAAAAGTGTGGATGGATACACAGTTAACAAGACTCCCTTCCGTCCTTGCTCCCAGCCTCTCAGTTCCTCTCCCTGGGGGCACCATTGCCGTCATGTCCTGTTTACCCCAGAGAAAATCTAATCAACCAAATGTATTTGTCCAATGTTCTTATTTTTACCTTTTGTTATACAAAACGGTAGGTCTAACTTCAGGCACAGGCCAGCAGAGTAAAGGGTTAAATGTAGAATGTGAAGGGATTACTCTCCACATGGGGCCCAGTAGTGGCAGCATTAGGACAAGAATGGGGGCTTCGAAGGTTATTTGATATCAGGCTGGTGTTTGCAAAACTGACCTAACATATAAATTTGCCTCTTTACAGACTCTTTCAGAATCAAGATCTTTAACATCTTATGTAAGTGATAAACATTTCAAAAGAAAAACAAATACATACAGAAGAGTTTGTTGAGTTGGGCAATGTTACAAATAAGACAGGAAGAAAATACAGATGGAAATCCTGAGATGTTATGAACAAGAAAGAGCCCCAGTTCCCTATTTGTCATCTTGTAGGTCAGAAACAGACACAACTTGATTCTTCACCTGAGCTATTACTGATTTTTTTTTTAACATTCCCCATGAAAGGTTTGGCATTTGAAGATGAGTTGGGTAACAATGAGCCTGCAAGATGACCTAATGTGCTACCCCCTCGATTACTCCATCCTGAGCTGTCATTCAGCAAAATTTTACTGAATATCCATCTCTTCTTTTGCTTCTCATGACTCACAGGCAGTGTTTGTTTTTCCCTTTTCTGCATGATCTTGACCACTGTGAAAGTTTTAATTGATTCTCCCTTTATCAAGAAGAGCTCATTGACTTTTGTGCACCAAGCATATGTATCTCATCTTCTTTTAAAACATGAATCAGACAGTCCATTTCTTAGCCAGAAGATTGATGAGTTTATCCTGGCAAGAAAAGGACATGTCTCAGGAGGATTCTGGGTAGAATTAAAAGAGCATTAATCAAAAGACTGGGGTGCCAGTATGACCTTACTGCTTCCTGTCTTTGTGACCTTGGACAAGTTACTTAACTTTGCTGAATCCTAGATTCCCTAAATATAAAATGTGGCATAATCCTCTCCACTGCCCTGCAAGATTGTTATTAATTGATACAATGTTTGTGAAATTGCTTGGCACATAATGAGATTTAGCATGTTAGCTATCTAAAAATGATCATTTTAGTCTGGAAAAAAATGAGTTTATAAAGGAAGTTTCTATACCATTTTGTGGCATGTGCTGGCATAGAAGTGATGAAACCTTCACCCATTACTTCCCTATCAGCCAAAACATGATATCTGATTTTCCAGAAAAATGTATCTCTACCTCTCCCATTTCAACTTAGTGTTTGTTATGTAGTATCAGTTATTTGGGTGTATCTCCAGTCTCCCTAATTAGACTGGAAACGCCTTGAAGTTGGAACTATGTCACATCTTTGATTCCTATGGGCACCTCGAACATTATTTTGATAAATTGTAGATATCCAACGATTATTTGTTAAATGAAAAGTAAGTGGGTGAAAAGAAAATTTGTTAAATTGGACCTCATCAAAAAAATTTTTTAAACCCATTTGTTCTGTAAAAGACCCTATTAAGAGGATGAAAAGACAATGGTACACTGGGAAAAATATTTTCAAATAACATATCTGACAAAGGACTTATATCTGGAATATATAAAGAACTCTCAATATTCAATAGTAAAAACTCCCAGTCTAATTAGAAAATGAGCAAATGATATGAAGAGATATTTCACCAAAGAGTGTATACAACTGACAAATAAGCACATGAAAAGGTGCTCAACATCATTAGCCAAGGGAAATGTAAATTAAAACTATAATGAGATATCACTACATACTATTAGAATGGGTTAAGATAAAAAATTGTGATGACACCAAATCCTGATGAGGAGACAGAGAAATTGTGATATGTATGGATTGCTGGTGGGAATGTAAAATGGTGCAACCACTCAGGAAAACAATGTGGCTATTTCTTTTAAAACTAAAATTGAACCTACCACACAACCCATAAATTTCACCTTAATTATTTGTCCTGGAGAAATGAAAACTTGCATTCACACAAATCTTTTACAAACTGAGCCACAAAGGACCAGTCCTCAACAGCTCCACGCAGCACAAGATAGCAAAAGAGCAGAGGACCATGACACACATCCAGTCTGCTTGCTGTACGAAGAAATGGGATGGAGCTCACTGGACTAAGTGAACAGTCATGGTTTTGGACAAGTCAAGGGGAAGTAGGAGGCTTCAAAATGGAAATCCTGGACATTCTGCTCTTCAGCAGTGGATTACCTGGAAAAACAAAAGACATGTGACCATACATGTTATCTTATATTGATGAAATAGATCATACTGGACTAAACAGAACTAAAAATAGAAACGCATAGAAAAGAATTCATTGTTTCTGGTAAGTACAGTGTTTTTCTCCAAGGTATTTTTTAGAACAATTAATATTTTATTATACAGCTATTCACACCCTACTAAATAATGGCTTCTAAAAAGCTTTATTGCTTTCTTTAGTAAAGTTGATTCTATCTTGGATGGACAGTGTAGAAGTAATTATAGAATCTTGTCATTCACTGATTACAATATCCAATAAGGGATCCTGGTGCTGCTAAGAGATACTGATAAAAAAAAAAAATACTATTTTACAGGAGTAGATGATTACTGAATGACAGTCTTTATTTGTGACTGTCTCCTCTTACAATTTTTCTTATTATAAATTAGATCCCTACAATAAAATCCAGGCTTAGTTAATAACCTCTGTAGCCAAATCAGATACTATGCTTCTCTGAATCCTGAACCAATTGACGTCTGAGGCAGCTGACTCAGCCTACAGTTGTGCTGAAGGTTAATAAAATTAGCAGTAATGCCCGGAAACTTAGCCAGTGCCTTGTGTGTGAGTGTGCATCCCCTTCATAACAGTCCTCAAAGCCTTAGGGATGGTTTAATTGTCATGATCTTATTCACTGAGGCTTAACAATAAAGTTCCATTGAAATGGCAGTTAGGCATCCCCAAAGAGAAGCAGACAGATGAATCTGTCCTCTTTCCCTCAATGCCTGACCCTCCCTACCCTGCTATGCATTTTCTTTATTCCACAGCATTTGTCACCTTTTAACACAATCTTAACTTTCTTATTCTGTTTGATACTTATTGTTTGTCTTCCCTACTAGGATATAAGCTGCACCAGGGCAGAGATTTTTGTTTTGCTCACAGATATCTCCAAGTTCCTTGGACAGAGCCTAGCACAAAGGAAGTGCTGGAAAGATATTTATTAAATGAATGAAGATGCCAGAGAAAATGCTCCTCCACCACCATTTACAATTCAAAGATGTTCAGAAGCTTTCATGCATGCTGAATATTCACATTGATATTTTTTAAATCAGGTGACCTGAATTTTCATGTATTTTAAAATTCCTTCCAGAAGTGAAGAATCTTAGTGCTGGCTGCAGTGATGTTACCAGTTCATTGAGGCTATTTCTCTGCTCAGTAATTCTGCCCCCTCCACTAGGACCTTCACTGTCTTTAAGGCAGAGCCAAGAGGCTTATGGTTCCAGGAGACAAAAAAGATGGATCCTACCTGGAATATAGAAATCTAAGGTAGAAAAGAAAGGGAATATAACATGAGAGAAGATTCTGCTCTATAGAAAGGGAAAAGAGAAGGAAGAGGAAGAGAAGGAGGAGGAAAAGGAGAATAAGGGGTAAAGAAGATGGAAAAAAGGAGAAGAAGAAGAGAAGGAGGAAGAAAAGAAGAGGAGGAAGAGGAAGGGGAGGAAGAAGAAGAGGAAGAAGAAGGAGAGGAAAAAGGAGAAGAAGAAGGAGAAGGAGAACTCTCTGCCACAAGAGCAAGAGAATCATTTGGAATGAATGTGAGTAGGTAAACAACACTATTTGGTTCTCCCAAGGATCCAGGACTGAATCTTTCTTGGTCCCCAGGGGACCCAGAATGGGAAATGTGGGAAGGTGGTAAGAAGATGGAGATGACATAGCATTTGGGGCTAGCAGATTGAGCCCCTGAGAGACTGAATGTACAAATGGACAACAGCCAGACGATAGATGACAACAGGACTGACCCACAACCTCTCCAGCAACCAGCCAGGAAGCCAAACCACCCCTCTGCAGTTATCAGCCCTCAATGATCTGGACTTGATCAATGGCTACCAGCTTCCTTATTTTTTGGCCCCTGCTTCCAACTTAGCGTCAACCAGATGTATATGCTCCCAACTCAGTCACATAGGATGCCCTGCTTCTAGTTAGCCTGCTTCCAAGTTCCTCATGCCCCCAACCTGCAGTCAGGGAGGTTGCCTGAAGTCTTCCCTCTTTTTCATTATAAAGCTTTCCTATTCTGCTGCCTGCCTTTGAGTCTCTGCCAAACACAAGCGCTGAACGAAAAGCTTCCGTTTATTCTCATCTGGGTGGTCTTCATTTATTTCCACAGTTTTCCTAACAGTCTTATTGAGACAGACTGCATTGCCCACCACCACAGATCCCAGCCTTTACCAAGCAAGGTGCCCATAGAGGCCCATTGTGCCTCGCACTAGTGGCTTGTCAAGTTCTCACCAAACATTTGCGAATCAGCCCTGGTTCTGAGTTCTGCTCTCTGGGTGTGGAATTCCACAGCTATACATTCTCAGTTTGGTACCTGGGTTTTGTTTTTTGTTCCTATTGTTTTGGCATCCTTGGTGTAATCAGGTCATTTTGGGGGGACCCATTTTGCTCTCTTTTGTGCTTCTGTTTTGTGATGTGCTATCTAAAAGTGTTTGTCATATTAAGGAGAATCACAGAATAGAAAACAGGCAGAGGGCCCTATAAGCTGAGTTTGTGGTTCTCACCAAACCAGAGCCCATTTTGACAAATTTTGCCAAGTTACCGACAAAACTAGGTGAGATTTTCCTTCCACCCCTTTTGCTGTTGTTCTTTTTGTTCTGAGAGCTTGGCTTTGATCCAAGGAGAATGTTCTCTTTGGTGAATGTTCTCTTTGGTTCCACCTGCCTGGAGGTGCTGATGGTCAAGTCTGTGTGCAGAGGCAGCCAAACCATCAGGTTGGGGGTCCAAGATACAAAATGCACAAGCATCACTTTTCACTCACAGTTGCCTGCTCCCAAGGAAGCATCTCAGTCTAAAACCTTTTCTCCTCCTCCTCCTCCAGGAGAAACTCCTCCTTTCTACCTGAACTCTTTTTATAATCCTAATTCTCTCATATGTTGCTCTAAATGGCACATCTTCACCAGTGATGATTTGGAGCTTCAGTAACCACTCTGGGAACATTTGGTTTGAATAAAATTGTTCGTCTGAGAGATGCCTTGGAAAAGAAAGGATCTAAAATTTCTCAGATTTAATAGGCAGCATTTGTATTGATATGCAGAGGCCTCCAAACGAAATTCTGATTGAAAAAATTCCTTCACTAGAATACTCTTCAGCCAAAGCTAATGAGCAACCTGACAATCTTAAGCAATGACAAACTAGACTCATTTCCTGAGTAAATTCTCCCTCTGTGTCCTCCTGTTACCTCTTTAAATCTAGCTCTCCTTCATTCTTCTTATCCTTCTGATCTCTCTCCTTCCACACTTCTGATAATTTCTCTCTCTTCTTTCCCTTGTCTAGATCCCTATCTTTTCCTACTGACTTTCCTAAGAATCCCAAATTCTGGTTGCTTCTAAAAATCCATCCCTCCCATGAGTCAAGTGTGCCTTGGATCTGAACTGAATTCACAGTTATAATTCAGAATTTCCCTAACCCAGAGAAGGCCAGCTGCTATTCATAGAATATAGCCTTCTTTTAGGTGCATATGTCCCAGGGTTACCTGAACTATATCAACTCGTACACATGTTGGTCAAAACCTCAGATGCTAAATCCTGGGTGGCAAAAACTGATTGGACGAACACAGAAAGGGATCTGCAGAGTCCCTCTTTTATAATAAACCTGAGGGTTGAGAAGGGCCCCAAAGTTAGGGCAAAGTCTACTAAAAGCCATACCCAAAACATTTCCAACAAAATTTTATTAGACCATAATTCAATCGTGCACACAAAGAAAAGATGAAACTGTAGGAGATTATGGCCATACAGTCCACTCCCTTAGGGACACAACAGTTATCCCCTTAACATCTGGTAACTGCAAGACCCACACATTTAGGAATTTCACCTCTGATATTCTGCCCTGCTTCTTGCAGAGTTGGCAAAATATTGCAAGAGACTCATGTACTCAACCCCATCATCACCAGGTTAAGGCTGCCTTCCCACAACATCTTCCTAAACAGCCTCAGCCTCCTGATGTTCTTAAAACAGAAAATTTCATCTATTAGAAGAGATGTCAGAGAAAAAACTACTCTTGAACTTCACTGGAATGGACCTTATCATGTATCATTTGTTAGCAACAAATACAGTAGTGAAACTCCAGGGAGTCATGTTTCACAATTAAAGAAGCAATTCGGAATTCCACATGGTTGGCAGGCTACTCCTATAAGGGACCTCAAATTTCAAGTTCTCAGAGATCCACTAGTAGCAGCTGACTTTTGAAAGTAAGTAGCTGAGCCGGGTCTGTGGAATACGCAGATGACTTAGGATAGTAGATAGTCACTGCCTAAGACATGGGACTAGACTACTGGCTAATTCCTATTTTGTTATTCATCTGCTTGCTCATAACCATTCTCATTTTCTACAGACCTTTGGTTATTGTCCACCCATAATGGCACTTTTCCTCTTTTCCTTCCTCTTTATTATAACTGTTAGCTCAGAACATACCTGTTCTAATGCCATTCTTAGATTATCCCAAACAGTAGCCACTGCCCTGAGTCTTACCAATTGCGGTATATGCCATCCATCACCAGATCATCATGATAAAAACCTCTAGAGAATTTCAGTCTTAATAAGCAAGATCATAAGGAATGGCAGTTGATGGCATTTGCATCTAAATAAACAAATGGTCTTAAATAAATCAACACATGAATATGGTAGTGCCCTTCTGTCACAGAAAACCAATTATTGCAAAACATTTGAATTCAACAACCTTCATGGGGGTGATGGGCCAATTACTTGCCACCTGGAAGAGGTTAATAGAGATCAAACTGTAACTGGGCTAATCGAAGACCTTTCTTCTGATCTTCCACCATAAGCAACTCCTTTTCTCCTGTGTCTCCATATGCCCCCTACCGGATACTACTTTTTTTGCAGCCAGAATGCCTGGTCTTGTTTGCCTCAGACTCCTAATAACTTCATGCACTTTACCAATAGTATGCCAAGACTTCCTGTATACTGAGACCCTAATTCTAGAAATCACACACTTGGCAAATTCCATCTGAGATACAAGTCCCCAAACAAGGGTGGTGGAAGATCAGACCAATCTTTACTCATTGGCACAGGTAATGATGGACAATTGTATTGCTCTAGATTTTTTGCTGGCTATTCATGGTGGTTTTTGTGCCATTGCTAATACTTCTTGCTGTACTTAGATTAATGAAACAGGCAAAATATAACAGGCAACACACTGACTTAAGGAAAAAAACTACTTGGTTTTTTAAGGTTGATCTTCATGGCCCATGAAATTTGTTTACTTGGCCTGGGTTGGGCAATTGGGGTTCCTAGTTCTTGTGTCTTATAGGTACTATTAATTATTCTTGTTTTTGTCAGTGGTCATGATTTGGTCTCTGGCATTCTATCCAGAACTGTAAATCTTACTACATAGCTGCTCTTTTGACAGATAATCACTGTGAAAATGTGACAACAAAAAGCTCAAGATGATCTTGCAACACAGTTGACCATGGAGACAACTGAACCATCCCCACAGTGAAGATATGGATCTGTAGCCTTCTCTGAATTGGTCAACCTGCCACTTGCAAGAGTGAGAGAATGACCAAAAGTGAGACTGAGGGACTGAATACACAAAGGAAAATGGCCAGCCTATATATGACAATAGAATGCTGACTCACAACCTCTACAGCAACCAGTTCAGAAAGTGAACTGTAGCAATTGGCCCAGAACAATTAGCAATTGTTAATAATTGCCAACTTTTTAATTTTTTTGCCTCAGCTTCCAAGTCAGGATCAAATGGAGAAAGCCAAATATGCTTGCCAAACTAATCCCATAAGATGCCCCACCTCTAGTTACTGATCCAGAGTTCCTATACCAACAACGTCCAATCAGATCATACCTAACACCTTCCTTTTTTCTTTTGTTATAAAGTTTTCCTACTCTCCTGCCTGCTTTTGAGTCTACCAAACACAAGCAATGGTGGCTTTCTTATAGTCATGGTCTTCATTTATTTCCACAGCTCATTAGGAACTCTGGAAGGAGACAGCACCACATGGCTGCCATCTGGCAACACAGAGCAGCTGCTGCCAAATAGGAGTGGAACCATGTCAGATTTAAGGTGAGAAAGAAGTAGGAGATGGAACCCCAAGAGCCCCTTGACTGTTACATAGCATAGAAGAAATCCACAAATGCCTCCATACTCCCTGTGAAGGAATGTAGAAGGTACTGATTGTTGAGGGCCGGCAAGCCTGCAGGGATCAGTGTTGGGAGGGGGTAGGCAGTACCTCATATCATTCCCACACAGGGAATATGAGGTGGTTTGCCAAGGCCAGGGACCTGATGGGGGATTTGGCTGAAATTCAGAGGTTCTGTCAAGACATTAAGAGGCAAAGTGGGGTCAGGTCATCAAGGGAAAGACTCCAGATCCTCACCATGCCAAGAACACCGCATCAGTTAGGTTTTGCTGTGTAACAAACCACCTCAAAACTTTGCAACTTAAAATAATAAGCACTTACTAGGTCATCGTTCTATGGGTTGTCTAGGTGGGTCTTTGGGACTGGGCTGGCTGATCTTGCTGGGCTCATTCAGGAAGCAGGTTAGCTGTTTGGCTGGATAATTTAGAATGTCTTACTAACTGAAACGGACTGTAAGTCAAAGGTGATCTAACAGTTTATCTTAGTGATTTTCTATGGGTTTCCTTCATTATTCTTGTTCCCTGTCCACCATTTTGAAAATAAGGCATAATTGCAATTCTTAGGCATTCACAAAAATGTTTTGGAATATTTATCAGCTGGTTATGTTAGCAAGCACAGTAATGCTTCTAGTAATTTACCTGGCAGTCTCTTCCTAGCAGGAATGTTAAACTTCTTTCCATTTATGACCTTACAACTCAACCTAATATATACTCTACAGTATTTTCGAAGATGAGCATGTGCAGGAGCCAAATTCTGGAAAGGGCTTTCTGCACTGACTGTTGAGTTATATAAAGTATCTCATTTCTTCATCATATGAAAAATGAGAATGTAGCATCATTCCCACGCCATGGCCATCTTGTCTTTTGAGTCAAGTCATTGATGATGAGCTCTTCCATATGCTTATCTGGTAACCGTGTGTATCATATAGGAAGTTCTAAAATTCAACAGACCAAGCTCCATTAACATTACTAGAAGGAAACACTGCTTCATTAACAATAAACCTCCCAAAGTTTACTGTACATGGGGAGAGAGCTCATGGTGGACTGGGTGAACTTTTAAACACTGTTCCTATTCCACCACCAAGATTTATTTCCCCTAGGAGCTCATGACTACTTCCACCATGTTGACCTCAGTAGATCACTACTCTTCTTCTAAGAAACATATCCAAACAGGGATATAAATCCTTTTCTTATGTCTCCAGAGGACACTTGAGATAAGGTTTAGATATTTTTTAAAAATCACTTAAAACTAAGGGAAAATGGAAATAATATCAAGAGTACCATTATTTGAGACTAGTGTTTCTCCAATTTTGTTCCACAGAACACTAATTTGGGGGGCTAATAGAAGATGCTTCATGAAAAGATGTTTGTGGTTCAACAAAAACGGGGAATGGTGCACACTATATCTACCTCATAGATACTAAAATGTACATGAGCATAACAAAGGCTCTGAGAAGTCATGCAACAGAACTCTAACTTTTCCTAATGCAGTGATTCCCAAGCTTATGAAAGTACAGAATATTTTATGTTAGTACACAACCAATATCTTATGGGTAGCATATCCTGAGATATCAGTTTGTTTACCTGAATTGTATTCTAGCCCTTAAAAAGGGGACCCCTGTTAAAGCAAAGGTTGTGCTGGAGTCTCTTCTTTCCCACATCTCCCTTCAGCTTCTATATGGTAGATGCTGTCCTGAAAACTCAAGGTGAGTTCCTCCATGAATAGACAAAGAGAAAAAAGTTAAGACCTTGTGGTTACTTCAGCTCTGTGTTCGCAGTTCTTTCTTCTCTAAGAAGTCTTTCCTTTTCAGATGAGTGATACCTGGAATGGGCTGCCTCACAAGACAGGAGAGAACTGTAGAATAGTTGTCAAGAGCAAGAACCCAGGAGTCTGACTCCACCATATCTTAACTTAAAATCTCCATGCTTCAATTGTCTCATGTGTAAAATGATAACAGTAGTAAATACCTCATAGGATATTGTGAGTAGCCCATGAGTGAAAGCTTATAAAATACTTAGAACAGGATCTGACATAGAGTGTGTACTCTGTAGATATCAGAATTATTTAGTTTAGCCTAGACCTGGCATCCCTCAAAAGAATATCCTCATCAAACTACAATACAGATTTCAAAATTCATACAAGAGGGACATGTCTTGAGGAGCTAGGCAATCAGTTTTTTCTGGTTGCAAATATTTTATCAGCATGACTATCAATAGGTTAATTGATGCACTTTACATTTTTATTTTTATATTTTATAATTATAAAAGTAATACATTCTAACAGTGGGAGCCTATAAAACATAAAGAAACATTAAAGGGAATATGCGCTCAAATAATCTGTCTTTGGAGACCCCGCTGGTAATATTTTGTTATATTTATAATACATATATTTTGAAAATGATGATATAATACACTGCTAGATATATTTTTCACTTGGCAAAATGTTGTGTACACTCACCCTGTCACTATTCGACAGCTGCAGATTATTCCATCCTATGGATGTATTATAATTCATTTCTTGATTCCTGAGTGATTTACTCACCAGGATGATTTGGTGAATTACCCATCACAAAACTGGTGTTTCAACAGAAGGAGCCACACATTCTTCATCTCCTGGAGGGTTATTAAGCCCTGTCAATTCTTTCCACTGGCTTTCCCACTCATACACCATGTCCACCTCTTAGTCTTCATTATTTTTGAGGGTAAATAAATTCAAGTCAAGCACATCTACAGTGAGTCAGAGAAAATCAAAAAGCTAGAAGACAAAGCTTATTAAGTAAGATTAAAGGAAATAGTACTCTTTTGTCCATTATCTGTCAATTCTCTATACTTATTATTCAAGCATTAACATCTTTCTTCATTTTTTCTTCTAATTCTACTTTCCTTTTTTTTTCCTACTTTGCATAAAAATGGGAGTATTTGCTATGATATGTGTCATTCCATAACACATGACAGTGTAAAACTGGCCAACAACTTCCTTCACTTTCAGGAGAAAAGAGCTCTGGTATGCTTCAAGGATAAAATATGGTAGAAAATAAGTTATCCAGAAATCCCAACACTAAAGCATCCAAAATACGAAACTTGTTTTGAAATGACTTTTTTCCCCTAGTGATCTTCCATGTTTCGAATCATGCAAATAGAAAAACTAATGAATGAATTGCTCTGGTGACTGTGGTAATGACAGAATCTACAGAGTAATGAATAACCAACCAGTTGGGAACAGCATAGCAGCTGAATTCTAACATTAGAGACAATGAGATACAGTGCATCCTGTGCATTGGACAGCTCTGATTTTTGTCTTTTGGGGATCATCACTCTTCCACAGTCTATCCCATCACCCCAGTTTCTGAGAAGGACCTAGGTATGGCCACCAAGCATCCAACTCCCTGGCCACTTTGCTAGATTACTTGAGCTAGGTCAATGATACTCCATTCAGGGACTTACTATTGAGAAAGAGGGTCTATTAATAATATAACTGGACTTGACATGAATAGAATAAATGCCAGAGCTGCTTATAGTCATCTTTATGAGAACAAAGGTGCATAAGAAATCACTCTAAATTATTTGGTTCATGATTTTGTGGGTTGCCAATATGAACTGGGCTCAGCTCAGTTAATTTTCTGGTCTTGGCTAGACTTAACTCATGTATCTGTGAGCATCCCCTAGATTAGCTGGGCCCAGCTGATCTAGGATGGTCTCACCTGGGATGGTTTTCCTCTATTCCATGTAGTCTCTAATTATCTAGAGGACCAGCCTAGGCTTACTCACATGGCACAGACATGGCTCTAAGTGAGCAGAAGTGTGCAAGACCTCATGAGCATTAGGCTCCAAACTGGGATGGCCTCACTTTCCCTATACTCTATTAATCAAAACAAGCCTTGAGTCCAGTCCAGATTTAAAGCAGTGGTGAAATGGACTCCCTCTCCATAAGTAAGAACTGCAAAGTCACAGTGCATGGAGTGTAGATAGAGGGAAGAAAGTAACTATGGCCATTTTTGTAGGTAATCTTTCATAGCCCATCTTCTGGCCAAAATTATTCACATTTCTTCTATATGCAAAATACACTTACCTCCTCCCAAGACCTTTTTCCATCTGTACTGGAGTCCATGATTTTGGGACCTACATCCTTCCACATGAGGCTTGGTTGGAGGCCTGTGAACTAAAAAAACAAGTTACATGCCTTCAGCAAACCCAACATACAAATGGGAGGCATGGACAGGATGAGCACGATAGACTTTTCCATTCAGAATACTCTGTGAAAAACAATGCATGCAGTGAAAATCTTGTAAATTTCATGGGCCAAAGGGACCTCATCACTGTTGGGGAAGGTCATCGAGAGGATGTGATCGCTGGTTGATCCACAAGCTACAAGTGGGCAATTGGAGGCTCTTCACCCCCTCCCCGTCCTTGGAATGTACCTTCTGCCTACCTTTCCCACAACTGGAGCCATTTTCAAGGACACAGACAAAATAGTGAGGTGGTGTTGAGACCCTCTGGAAGGTCTCTCTATACATGACTGAACCTCATACATGCTGCTATATAAAATTTTAAGATTTCAGCAGTGGGTATGGGTCTACTAGTCTCATGGCTACCCAAGACAAGCCTGGTAAGTAAGTTCCCTTGCTTGTTAAACCTGCCACCTGCCAATCTGGAGTGGCCTACCCCGTTCTTCAATCTCTGCCTGGCCTCCGTGCATGCAGGGTTTGTGAACCAACAATCCCAGAGCAAGGGATGCTGTGGATGTGCAGACTGAAAAGAGGCCCCAACAAGAGACTATGCAAAGCACTGAGGCATTTTAAAGTAGCGATTTTCTGCTTTGGTTTCTGCAGATGCTGACACAACAAATTCTGATTCTAAGTGGCTTGGCCGGATTCCTATCTATAGATCAAGCAAGATTTTCTGGTAAATAAAATATTCATACATTTTTTATTAGTGCATGGGTCTTTTTTTATGAAGTTGTCATTGCCATTTTAAAGTGCATCCTAAATCCTGATATTCACTGCAAGATTTTGATGAGTGAAAGATTTAAATTGTCTTACCATTAAACATTTAGGGTTTTCTATAACATGTTACTTTTTTTCCTGTTTTCTACAAAGTCTAGATGATTTTGGTTAATGTAAGCTGATAGCTATTTAATATATTCTTTAATTGAGTCTTAGGATATATTTTTATTAAACAAAGTTTTCCAAAGCATAGGTGGCTTTTTTTTCTATGTTTCATAGCATGATTTTATTTTTTTTTCTTAGATACAAAAGCCTTTCAATTAAAAACTAATAATGTATTGTATAGTGACTAACATAACATAATTAAATTAAATTAAATTAAAAAAACAATTATGTGGGTTTTGGCATTAACTGAAAACATAGGTGGCTTTTTAACATTTTGTTTGAAGATAGTGTACATATAGAGAAGTACACATACCAAATGTGTATAGCTTGATGAATTTTCCCATTCAGCACATTTGTGTAATCAGCAAACAGATAAGAAACAGAATATTACCTTGAGGCACCTGGGTGGCTCAGATGGTTAAGAAACAGAATATTACCAGACTCCAGAAGCTTTCCTGTGCATGCTTTCAGCCGCTACTCCTCTAAGATAGGGCTTCTCAACCCCAGCACTATTGATGTTTTGGGCTGAACAATTCTTTGCTGTGGGGGCTACCCTGTACATTTTAGGATGTTGAGCAACATCCTTGGCCTCTACCCACTACCTGCCAGTAGCAACGCACATCCCCAGTGTGATAACCCAAAATATGTCTCCAGACATTGCCAAATATGCCCTGCAGATGGATGCTTAACTGACTGAGTCACCCAGGCACCCCTATCCATTCAACTATTGAAGGACATTTTAGTAATCACCAGTTTTTTACTAATACAGTTTTAAAACTCATTTCTTTATTATCATGCTTTATATCCCAAATTTATATATCATAGCTCATCTCTTAAAATTTTTTTTTTAGTTAAAGCATCTGAATTTTGGAAATTTTGTTAATCTGGAACAAATCACATGCTGGGCATTATAAATAAAATGTTTTTTGGTAATTTCATAAGAAATCCACAATGAGGCCACTGATCCTGAAGGTGAGGTTGGGAGGGGGAAGAAAAGGAGTCCAAGTTCAGTGCAACCAAAATTATTGAAGTGACTGCTGGGCATTGTTGGTAGCTCTGGAAATGTGAAGATGAATAAGACAAGTTCTGTGCCTTTGAGAATTTTACCATCCATTCCTCCAGTGCTGACCGATTTTTCTCTCCTGGGGCTGATATGATCTAATGGTACCTCTTATGTGGAGGGTTGCCTCTGATGACAAGATCTGAGCAGTGCCAGGGGGAGAAATGTGGGATGGGCAGTGGAGCTGCACCTGCTTTTGGTCTTTTTCAAGAAAGATAGAAGTGGGGGTCCTAAAGTTGTAGCTCCACGCATGACCAGGGTGCGGAAACAGAGAAGGGTTTAAAGCAGAAACCTTAGCTAAGAATAGGCAGGGTGCAAGCTGCAGGGGGGAAAACACTCCCTGTCCCCAGAGACCTCTAATCGCAGGGGAGACTGGATAAGGGCAGGGCAGGGGATGAGGCAGACACAGTCCCCCAAGGAAATCCAGCTGACAGAGAGGACAGAAATGCTTGCTGATGCTCCACGAGTCACTTCATAACTGAGTCTGAAAAGTTCATTTACATTCACAACATACATCCCACTAGACAAAGGAGAATATGAGCCTAGGGAAGGAACGGCTCTGCTGGGCTTCTGTGTTTTAAAAATAGGCTAATTTGGTCTTTAATAGGCGTCAACCAAGTTGAGCGGCTGCCCTTTCACAAGAAGACTTTCATCACCAGTATTCCATAAAGCATCTTTGTCTCTTATCTTTGCTACTCAAATATTTCATTAATTCTCTACAACTTCAGGACAATGAAACAAGGGCCAGTGTGACTGGTATCATCCTCCCTACTTATTCATCATTCTCAGCCTTCTGAGACTTTCACTGCTCTTCCTCAATTTATGTTTGTTCATTATTGTTACAAAGTTGTTAAACTCAATACTGTTTAATTAAACTGACCAAATGTTTACGTTGTGAGTTCATTTTGAATTGACCTTTCAATTAAGTTTGCATTATAATTATCAAATTATAAATATTTAAGTAATTAAAGAATTTCAATCCAACATAGGAAGGTTTCTAAATTTTCTCTTAAGTAAATCAATAGGAAATAAAAGAATATTTTAATTTTTATAACCATGTGCATATTTGTCATTTAAAAGATTATTGAATTAAACCCAGACCCATTTCCAAGAAAATGTTAGATGATATTTGTAAAAATGATATTTCAACTACTTCACTGGGCAATCCTTTAATAAGCACCTTGCCTAATTTATTAAAATAACAGCAGGTAAAGCAAAACAAACCCAAACTCCAAATTTTCAATGGTCCCCTTGTTGTGCATACAGTCTCAAGAACATGCCACCCTCCCCAATACCAACCCCTCTCCCCTCCTGCCAATTAGCCAATTAGAAAACAATGAGCCATTGAGCCACTGAGTTGCAGAGACTTAATATTTAAAAGCCAGCCTTTATGTTTGTTTTTTGATCCTCAGGAAAATCCCCAAAGAACACATTTTTCACCAAATTTATCCATCACATGCTAAAATAACTCAGAACAAATGTGTTAAGACTTTCCATTGAACTACTTGTGCCTTCCAGTTAATCTGTCTCAAAAACTTTCACTGCAAAGGATTTGTAATGGGCTATCACATGATAACAGAAGTGTTTTTCTCTTAAAAATTCTTGCTTACCTATTTGTGAGTCCCAATATTATTTAAATAAGTATGCTTTGGAGCACTGGGTATTATATGCAAACAATGAATCATGGAACACTACATCAAAAACTAATGATGTAATATATGGTGATTAACATAACATATTAATAAATAAATAAGTATGCTTACTCTTTAAAGGAAACTGCACCTTTTTTATTATGTTCGATTAGCCAGCATACAGTACCTCATAAGTTTTTGTTGTAGTGTTCAATGATTTATTAGTCGTGTATAACATCCAGTGCTCATCCCAATACGTGCCCTCCTTAAAACCCATCACCCAGTTACCCCTGCATATTTTGTAAAGCAAAAATGTGTATATATGTTAAGACATTACCTATAGACATATATGCATCTGTGTGTGGGGGGGTACACTCACAGATAGCATACATATGTATATAGATAGATGAATACATACATGTATAGACTCACACAGTGTATGTAACATATATATGTACATATATACATACAGTACAAAATGGTTTATTTTTTTTTAAGATTTTATTTATTTTTTGACAGAGAGAGAGACAGCGAGAGAGGGAACACAAGCAGGGGGAGTGGGAGAGGGAGAAGCAGGCTTCCCGCTGAGCAGGGAGCCCGATGCGGGATCATGACCTGAGCAGAAGGCAGATGCTTAACGACTGAGCCACCCAGGTGCCCCCAAAATAATGGTTTAGAGCATGGACACCGCAACCAACCCACTTAGATTTAAATTCCAGATCCATATGGCAACAAAGGTAAGTTACTTTACCTTTGAGTGCCTCAGACTCCTCCTCCTAAAATAAGAATAATATTTGTATCTATTTCATCGGGTTGTTAAAAGGGCTAAATGAGTGAATACGCAGCTGTACATAGAGCTTAGCATGACATCCAGCCTCTGGAAACGCTATGTAAATATCTGCCTATAATTAATCTGTGTGTATTTGTGTATATAATACAGGTATAAATGATTAACCTCTCCTGTGTTTATTTCACACATTTTTGTATACGAGGTTTTTCTTCGTGTGAGATCCATGTATACACTTAAAGATGATCAAAAATTAACTCTGTTTCTACAAATTCTTCTTCTACCAACTCTACTTCTCTTGGCTAAATAAATCTAATATTTGACTTTTGACTCATATATTTTATATTCCAAATTCTCAAATCTTTCCATCCACTCTTTTCTTTTTTTAAATTAATTAATTTATTTAAAGACTTTATTTATTTGAGAGAGAGATAGAGGCAGAGAGAGCGAGCATGAGCAGGGGGAGTGGTGGGCAGAGAGAGAGGGAGAAGCAGACTCCCTGCTGAGCAGGGAGCCCGATGTGGGACTCCATCCCAGAACCCTGAGATCATGACCTGAGCCGAAGGCAGATGCATAACCGACTGAGCCACCCAGGCGCCCTTTTTCTTGAATCTTCCTAAGTTTTCCACATCTCTAGAGGTGTCAAACCCCCAAGTGTTGCCAGTGTTCTAACTGGGACGTGAGCATGCAGCTGTGAAGCCCTCCTCAGGACTGGGAATTCTTCAAGGAGGCTGACACCAGCTGCAGTTCCCAGGTCTCACCTTGAGAGCCTCGTACTTGGCTCTGCCCAGAACGTGCCTCTTTTCAGTGTTACCCTAGCTCTAGCACCCAAGGATTATAGACCAGACACTGACCCCCTGGCTGCACATTAAAATCACCAGGGGAGCTTTTAAGAAGTGCCAATGCCTAGGTTCACCCAAAGCAGTTAAATCAGAATCTCTAGTGGGTGGCCATATACCACCATTTCTTAAAAGCTCCTGTCTGGGTCTAAAGTGCAGTCAGGGTGCACAGTTGGAGTCACATAGAGAAGACATCGCCATCCAACAGATGTCCATCTTTGCTCTGCTGCTGGCATGGTGCTAGCAGGGTGCATTCCTCACTGCCTGTGGGAGGTAACATCTTCCCAGCTCCTCAGAGAAGGTCAGTGGACAGCTTCCTGAGGCCATGCTCCCTGCCTTGTCACTTAATACCTCCAGAAAACAAATATCTGCATAATGAGGCTGGAAATTGGGTTTTAGAGCAACTGTTCTCAAATTTTTCTTCTATTGCCACACATACAATGGGCAATATTCATGTGCATGACACTGTCCTGCTGGAATAGGTGAGGGCCAATACCCAGCTGTAATCCTACCTAAGGTAGCATTTTAAAACACAAGTTAGTGACAGTGACATAATTATAGGGGCCATTTGGGTTGTCATTAAACAAAGTCAATAATTTGCAAACTTAGGTACTTCAAATACTGTTCAGTTACTCAACACATATTCACTGAATATCTACTCTCTACACACTGGTCTAGGGGCTCAGCATGAAATAGTTTAAAACAACAAATTTCTTGCTATTGGTGGAAGTTACATTTTAGGGTAATTACATTTTAGTGAGAAGACAGCAAACAAATAGATGAATGAATGAATGTACGTTTCTGTGTTGTGGGAGGAGGGGGGTCTATGGGTAAATGTCATGAAGAAAAGAAAATGTGAGGGAGTGCCTTGTTGGGGAAAGGAATCAGGAAAGACCCCTTGGAGTAAGTGAGATTTGAGTAGAGATCTGAAGACAGTGAGAAGGCCAGCCTCCTCTGTGTCTGGGGGAGGAGTGGTGCAAGCAATTGTAAAAGCGCTGGGAAGGGACCCTGCTGTGTAGTTCAGAGAGCATCAAGTGAGCCAGAGTGGCTAGAATAGGATAGGCAACAACAAGTAGTCAAGTCAAAAAATGGGCAGAAGACATGAACAGACACTTCTCCAAAGAAGACATACAAACGGCCAACAAACACATGAAAAAGTGCTCAACATCATTAGCCATCAGGGAAATTCAAATCAAAACCACATTGAGATACCACCTTATGCCAGTTAGATTGGCAAAAACTGACAAGGCAAGAAATAACAAATGTTGGTGAGGATGTGGAGAAAGGTGAATCCTCTTACACTGTTGGTGGGAATGCAAGTTGGTACAGCCACTTTGGAAAGTAGTATGGAGGTTCCTCAAAAAGGTAAAAATAGAGTTACCCTATGACCCAGCAATTGCATTTACCCCAAAGACACAGATGTAGTGAAAAGAAGGGGCACATGCACCCCAGTGTTCATAGCAGCAATGTCCACAAGAGCCAAACTGTGGAAAGAGCCGAGATGCCCTTCAACAGATGAATGGATAAAGAAGATGTGGTCCATATATACAATGGAATATTACTCAACCATCAGAAAGGATGAATACCCACCATTTGCATTGACATGGATGGAACTGGAGGGGATTATGCTGAGTGAAATTAGTCAAGCAGAGAAAGATAATTATCATATGGTTTCACTCATATGTGAAACTTAAGGAATAGCATGGAGGACCTTAGGGGAAGGAAGGGAAAACTGAAGGGGGGAAAATTGGAGGGGGAGACGAACCATGAGAGACTGTGGACTCCAAGAAACAAACTGAGGGTTTCAGAGGGGAAAGGGGTGGGGAGATGGGTTAGCCCGGTGATGGGTATTAAGGAGGGCATGTATTGCATGGAGCATTGGGTGTTATACACAAACAATGAATCATGGAACACCACATCAAAAACTAATGATGTAATGTATGGTGATTAACATAACAATAAAAAAGTTAAAAAAACACAAACAAACAAACAAAAAACTAATGATGCACTGTATGGTGACTAACATAACATAATAAAATTTAAAAAAAAAAGGAAAGGCATGGGGCAAGAGGTGGGAGTAACATCAGTAGTTGTAAGGAGTTTAGAGTCTTCGGGGTCTCTGGATTTAATTCTCAGCGCAGTGGGTAGCCACCGGAGGGTCTGAGCTAGGAGATGCTCAGACTTACCCTGTAAAAGGATTGCTTGAGCTACTGTACTGAGACCTGGCAGGTGGTTACAATCACAACACAAGGGAGCTGTTGGTCAGAGCTGCAGCAGAGGAGGTGGGGAGACATGGTGATGTTTTGGATATATTTAGAAGCAGAGTTACCAGGATTTGGTGGTGGAGTAGAAGTGGGTGGACAGAAAGAGAGGACTATGGGATGCAGATGCCATTTATTGAGATGGAGGACACTGGGAAAGAGGGTGTTAGGGTGAAAATCAAGACTTTGATTGAGAAATGTTAAATTAGAGATGCATGTCAAGTGAAGATACTGAGCAGAGTGTTGACTACTTGAGCTACAGTTAAAGGGAGAGGTTGGGTGGTGATCTCAATTTGATAGTCATCATTATAGATTAGATATTTATCTGTTTATCTGTTTTTCATTTCTTTCTTACT